CTTGTGATTCTTACAAGATTTCCATCATAGTCTTACAAAAGTGTTTTCCAGAGTTCTCTTAAATTCTTGCTAAACTATTAAGAGGTTCCAAAATTTAAAAAAATCTAACAAGCGCACTGACTACTCCAACTATTCAACGATTAGTCTTCTCTCTATTATTAGTTTATTTATATAAAGGTTTTGAGATTGTAAATCATTTCTTTTTAACCATAGTATTTAAGTCATTCTCAAAAGCCTTCGCTCATCTTTATTTCCAGTAACTTTAGGATTACTGGAAATAAAGAAAAGTAACTTTAAGAGTTACAGAAAATGAGAATGGTTACAACTGCAATGTTCTATCTATGCTCCTGTATTGTTTTTATATACAATACTCATTTTTCTGACTATCTTAAAACTAAAGTGGCTCAATTTGCTGACAACTCAATTTTATACCCTTGTCGTGATAAAAAGTCATTACTTTTTAATTGCTTAGAACAATCAGCCGATCTTTACTCTAGTCACTTTTCTGTGTAAGGTCTTGCATTGGTTTTATCTCCAAAAAACTTTTTTGCAACCTTGATGGAAGCTTGATAATTAGTTTATATATATATATATATATATATATATATATATATATATATATATATATATATATATATATATATATATATATATATATATATATATATATATATATATATATATATATTTGTATAAATGCCAGTAAGTGAATTAGTTTGTTTGTATAAATGCCAATGATAAAACAAATGGACCTCATAATCCTCTTTTCAAAAAATTAAAAAATATTTTTGAAGAACCTAATTTTAATTATAATCCAATTCAACTCTTACAGTTTGATTGGAATAAAGTTAAAAGCAATCTTTTAAAGAAGGCAGCTGAGAATTCATTAACATTTTGCAGAGCTTACATTGGTAAACCAGGTATTAAAAGAAATGATAGAAGTGAGCTTGCAGAATTAGTTGTCACCTACTTATCCCCTGTCACCTATAAAGTAAGAAAAACAGGTGCTATTCACCATGCAAGATTTTTAAGAAAAGCAATTTATTATCTAAAACTTCAACTTCTATCCAACCAACTTACATTTGTTCTAGAAAACAATAAACTAGAAACTGAAATTAGGCTTATTACAGAATTTATTGTTTGCTTTTATCCAAAATGGTATTTACAATCTAAGGATGTCATCAAAGCTCCTTTTCTTGATATTACAGACATACATCAAATGCATCTGCACAAGAAGGTATGTACAAACCCAGCTGCTGTTGATGCTGTATTGGAATCTCAGTATAAACATTGTTGGTATTTGGACTCAACAATGATACCTCTAGCTTTGCTAGATGATGATTTAACATTAGAGGAGAAGGCAAAAATTGCATCAGCAATTCTTTTATTTGACATGCCTAGCTCTGACTGTTATAAGCCTGAGAACAAAGTAAAACAAGATATCAAGAAAGTTTATAAAATGAATATAAATATTGGAAAAAAACCACCATCCTTGTCTGTCTTAGTTGATGACTTTTCTTACCTGATTTTTGACATGATTGGTCTTGATAAGCAACGAGTTAAAGACTGGCTCTCACTTTCACCAAAATATTGGCATACCCAATCTTTCTTTAAAAGTTTTCAAAAATATGCTGAAACTTTGATTTTTGTAAATGACCATTCAGAAGGGTCTATAGGTATGATGGTACAGTATATTCAAAGATATTTGAATGAAACTGAAAAACAAAACAGATTGCTCACTGTACACAAAGTTTGATCTGATCACCAGAACAAAAATCTAGTAAAATTTCAAAGATTTAGTTTAATGATGGGCTTGGTGTGATGCAGAAAAAGATAAAGAGATAAACCTGATTAATACAAATGTATTGAGTTTTTATCTGTTATAATATTTTAAATCTCTCTTAAACAATTATCTTTTTGTTTATTTATATCAATAAAGATAAACAGTGGTTTGCCCTCGTCCATGTTTTGGAATAGAATAGAAAGGTTCTTTAAAGAAAATTTTTAATTTTTTGGCAAATAATGCATATTTTAAGGGAAATATCGTTACGTATCGTTTTTTTCGAAATAAACATTATTTTTGAAGTTTTTATATAATTTCGCTTCATTTGAGTACCAGGTTGACATAAATTTGAAAAACTTTTTTTTTGAAAGTATTAGGGACCCATTGAATATTCGAGGGTCTTGAGGGACCTTTTAAATTATTTTTTATTCAAAAAAAATTTAAACTTAGTGTTTTTGTATTAGATAGAACACATTTAGGGGGTGAGAGCAGATTATTTTTAAAAAAGTTGTTTTTTGGGACACCCTTGAAAATTTACTTTTTTTGACTCCACCTAATATATATATACATATATATATATATATATATATATATATATATATATATATATATATATATATATATATATATATATATATATATATATATATATATATATATATATATATATATATATATATATGTATATATAATATATATATATATATATATATATATTTATGTATATATATATATATATATATATATATATATATTATATATATATATATATATATATATATATATATATATATCTGTGTGTGTGTGTGTGTGTGTGTGTATAACTATATCTATCTAAATATTGAATAGGAGTTGATAGTAAATGAATATCTTGATCGAATTGAAGGAGAATGTCTTGGAGAGTTATTAAATTTTTTAAGCAAAGAACTCATCAGATTCCAAGTAAGTTACAGCTATTAAATTTTATAAACTAATCTTGTTAGCATAATTATTTTTAACATTAAGTGCTTCTTTAAATCAATTATATTTTGATAACTTATTTTGTTAACTTAAATTTTTGCTTTTAAAGTTATAATGATTATAGGTTATTATTATATAAGTAAAAGATTTTAAATTTTTGTTTCTTTTAAACACAAAGGAAGAGCGACGCATACATGCATTTGCGATGATAGCAGAACGCCAAAGACGACTAAGAGAGGCAGAAGAAAGTGGTAAAAGACAATTGGAAGAAAGAAGGAGACGAGAAGAAGATGAAATTTTCAGACAGGTATTATACAATTATTATCTGCAGAAATTTTTATTTATTCATACCTGTTTGAAGTTGTTTAGAATGTTATAATGATTTTAAAAAAAAGCATGTTCACTTAAAACTTTATATCATTTTTTTTTTTTTTATATACATAATATAAAAATTTAATTTTTTTTGGTTATCTTGGTTATCTCTTTTGTTTATCTTTTTTTCATAAATCGTTTTCTATATACTAAAAGCAGTGCAAAGTATTTTTATTGTTTTTTTAAGTTTAGCCTATACATAGTTGCTGTTTGTGTTGTAGGAAACTATTCAAATTAGTAAAGCTTACTTGTAACTTGTTAGCCTGCTTATAAAAAAAGCTGTCTCTAAAAATTAGTTATAAATAAATATACCATCAAGGTCAACAAGCAACTAGGAAATGGTTATAATAGAATTTGATAGATTTGACAAGTTGCACTGTTAAAAAATTTGCCACAGATTCAGCGGAGAATGTCCAGCAGCAAAATGACAGCACTTTCTCCATAAAAATTAACAGTTTCTGTAGTTTCTATTTTCCGTAAAAATCAACAGGAAAAACATTTTACAGAGTTTATATGAAAATAAAAAATAAATGAGTTTATATGTTGTTATAAAAATGTAATTCGACTATTAAGAAACTACTCGTATTTTAAATGATGAAAAATTATAATATAATACACGTCAAGTAATAATAGTTATAATAAATATAAACAAATTATATTATAGTGGAGTATAATTATATTATATTTTTGTGGAGTAATTCCATGATTTCAGCTGGCAGCTTTTCCAGAGAACATTGAAAACATCTATCCAATCGTCCAACATAGCACTGGAAAATTCAGATGTAGGTACATTTAAAATTCGAATTTTGGGTTGAAATCGAAACCAAGGCATGAACTTGAGAAAAACTTTCAATAGTAGTATTTCATTTTAAAAGTTACAATCAAAATTAATTAATATATATAAATACAAATAAATAATTAAATAATAATTTAACAATTATTAACATCAAAATTTCTATTCTATAGATAACTTTGTCAAAAACCACAATTTTAAATAATTTAAATATAAATCAGATAATGAGAGAAAAATTAAGAGAACTTAAGAGTCTTTTATTTTTATTTTTTAATATTATTATTATTATAACTATTATAATGTCATATTGTTTCGCTGAGGTTTAATTTTAGACTGCATTACAAAAAAGTAAATATAATAGATATAGTAAATATATAGATCTAACTATTTTATTTAATATATACCTTCTTTCCATGCATTTATCCTCCATGTGGTTTATCCTCCTTTAAATAGTTGCCATACAGAGGCTACATACCAAGGCTGGCGAAGACAAGTTCAGCTCACTAAATAGCATCATAACCCCTTCACAGACTTAACATAAGTGATTTTTTAGAAGAATGAAGGTTATCAGAGAGAAAGTTAGAAGAAGTCGAGTTAGAAGGTTAGCATAGAGACAGCTAACAGTATTGCACTAGGTGTTAGAATGTACAACTTTTGTTCAATATCAAGATCACTTGATAGGAACCTTTGTTATGTATAAAGTTTTACATAATTTACGTAAACTTTATATATGTATATATTTATATATATATATATATATATATATATATATATATATATATATATATATATATATATATATATATATATATATATATATATATAAACTAGTCATTGGAGTGAAACCTTAATAATATAAACAAATAAAGCAAAAAACAAACAAGCAACAAAAAGTAATAATATAGATAGTGACCAAAAAATAATTATAACAAAAAGGAGAATAACTATTAAAAAAAGCCAGACTAATAAAAAACAAGGACAAAGTGAATGAGCTGAGAAATAATGAATGAATGACATTTAACAATCAGAAGGGTGATAGAAAGATATATTTAGATATATTAAAAAAAATGTAAAACCACAACAAAAAAAAAAAGCACAACAATATAAACAATACACATATGAACACGTTAATATAAACGATGCACAAAATTACATGACAATATAAACAAAAATAGAAATAGACAACAATTTAAACAATACACCAAAATACACAACAGTATAAACATTCAAACAACATAAATTATTAAAACTTAAAAATTGTTGTTTTTTTTGTTTAATGAGTTTTTTATTTTCGAAAATCTCAAGAATATTTTTCTTTTAATTTTGCTTTTGATTGTTCTGATTATTTAATATTTTTCCTCAATTTATATTCTTAAAAATTTTCATTTTTTTTCACTTCATTAGTTTTTTGTAAATCTTCTATTCTAAACAATTTTTTTTTTTTTTTTAATTTTTAATTTTTTCTATTTTTGATCTTTTTGATGTTAAAAAAATAAATCCTTTATTTGCGATGTCATTGCTATATATATATATATATATATATATATATATATATATATATATATATATAATATATATATATATATATATATATATCGTAATGTTATCGATTGGTTTAAAGCCATAAAAGACAAACACCTTTATAAATTTTTAATTTTTGATATCATTGACTTCTACCCTTCTATTAGTGAAACACTTCTAAAAAACTCTATCAAATTTGCAGAGCAACACTTAACACTAAATAAAGAGAATATATCGTTAATTTTTCATGCAAGAAAGTCTTTGCTTTTCAATAATAATCCGGTTTGGATAAAGCAATCAAGTGGTTTATTTGATGTTTCCATGGGAGCTTTTGACGGCGCAGAGGTTTGTGAGCTTGTAGGAATATTTCTTCTTTTTGAAGTTTCAAAATTTTATAACAAGTTTGAGGTTGGTTTATACCGTGACAATGGATTAGCAATTTTTAGGAATAAAAGCGGCCCTCAAATGGAAAAAATAAAAAAAGCATCTTTCCGAAATATTTAAATACAATGGCTTACGAATTTCTATACAATGCAACATGAAAATTGTCAACTACCTCGACGTCACTCTAAATCTTAGTGAGTCCACCTTTAAACCTTATCTCAAACCTGATAATACATTAAATTATATCCATGCTAATTCAAATCACCCTCCAAGTATACTAAAACAAATACCACACTCGGTTGAACTTAGATTATCTACAAATTCTTCTACCAAAGAAATATTTCAACATGCTGTTTCTCTATATAATGAGGCTTTATTAAAGTCTGGTTTTAAATGTAATCTAACATATAATCCTAAAGCAATATCAACTAAAAAACGGAACAGAGCACGCAACATCATTTGGTTTAATCCTCCATTTAGCAAAAATGTTAGCACCAACGTGGGAAAATGTTTTTTGAAATTAATTGGCAAACATTTTCCTAATAATAACAAACTACATAAAATTTTTAACAGGAACACAGTCAAAGTTAGCTACAGTTGTATGCCAAGTGTGAAATCGATCATAAATTTGCACAACAAATACATTTTATACAACGATACAAACTCTAATCAAGAAAATTGTAACTGCTTAGATAAAAATTTCTGCCTGTTGTCCAATAGATGTTTAACAAGCAACATTGTATACCAAGCAACTGTAACCATGTCTCACCGAAAAATATGAAATCCTAAATTATAAAAATACTAATCTACTAAATAAAAGGAGTGAGATTGTTTCTAAGTGCAGACATAGAAACAGATTCCTCCTTTCTCAATTTGACACTGGCAATTAGAAAAGATGTTTTTTCCATAGTATTATTATTATTGTTGTTATTATTATTGCTATTATTATTATTATTATTGTTATTATCATTATTATTATTATTGCTATTATTTGTATTATAATTATTTGACGTCAGAACTCATTCCATTGTTTTTTTTGAATTTTGTAAGGGTTTTTTAATTGTATTTTTGAACGTTTTTTTCTTGATTTAAATATATGGCTGATGAGTGCCGAAAACGGCATGAAACTTTAAGTACCGTAAAAAAGTTGTTTTTTCTCATCTAACCTTTTATTTATATATATATATATATATATATATATATATATATATATATATATATATATATATATATAATATATAAATATATATATATATATATATATATATATATATATATATATATATATATATATATATATATATATGTATATATATATATATATATATATATATATATACATATATATTTAGATTATATAGATTTTTATACCATATAAATCCTATATAATATAGGAAACTAATTTTTAGAAGTACCTATCTTTAATAAATACCTATATCTATTTATAACAGCATCCTTAATCAGCACCTAATTTAAAGAGAATTTTTTGCGAATGCACTTCTTTAAAAACATGCGGCACTTTAGTTCCAGTAAAACAAATATAAACATATTAAAATCTCCAACTTGGAATAATACACGTGTATAATTTCTCCTCGTTAAAAAGAACTATGGCTCTCTGTAAATTAGAGGCTATACTTGAGTATACTAAAATATATGGTTAATGTTCGTAATTTAAAGTTACGGAACTTCTCCTTATCATAAATACAGACAAAATCATATAAAGTAGTACTACTTTATAATCACACTATAGTGTGATTATTTCAAAAGTCTTAAAAGTATAGGTAAAAGTCCCTAAATTATTGAAAATGGATTTTTTCCGTAACATAACAACAGAAAAAGTCTGATAAATACTACAGAGTTTTTTTACAGTGTGTTTCTGATTTGAATTGATCTTTTTTGTAAATCACTTGCTGGTAGAGTAAGGGTTGACCGCAGTTTAAAAACTGCAGTCAACTTTTGCAGTTACAAAAGTCAACTTTTGCAACTGCAATTTAACAAAAACTTATTTCAAGTTAAATTAGATTACAAGTTGTTGTAAAAATTTAGATTTTTAAATTTTTTGTTCAACTTTAGAGCATATGAGTAAAAAGAAGATAAATCATTGTTTGTTTTTTACCACTCTTTGTCATTATTTTTACCACACTTTGTCATTATTTTTACCACACTTTGTCATTATTTTTACCACTCTTTGTCATTATTTTTACCACACTTTGTCATTATTTTTACCACACTTTGTCATTATTCTTACCACTCTTTGTCATTATTTTTACCACACTTTATCATTATTTTTACCACTCTTTGTCATTATTTTTACCACACTTTGTCATTATTTTTACCACACTTTATCATTATTTTTACCACACTTTGTCATTATTTTTACCACACTTTGTCATTATTTTTACCACACTTTGTCATTATTTTTACCACACTTTGTCATTATTTTTACCACACTTTATCATTATTTTTACCACTCTTTGTCATTATTTTTACCACACTTTGTCATTATTTTTACCACACTTTATCATTATTTTTACCACACTTTATCATTATTTTTACCACACTTTGTCATTATTTTTACCACACTTTGTCATTATTTTTACCACACTTTGTCATTATTTTTACCACACTTTGTCATTATTTTTACCACACTTTGTCATTATTTTTACCACTCTTTGTCATTATTTTTACCACACTTTGTCATTATTTTTACCACACTTTGTCATTATTTTTACCACACTTTGTCATTATTTTTACCACTCTTTGTCATTATTTTTACCACACTTTGTCATTATTTTTACCACACTTTGTCATTATTTTTACCACACTTTATCATTATTTTTACCACTCTTTGTCATTATTTTTACCACACTTTGTCATTATTTTTACCACACTTTATCATTATTTTTACCACACTTTATCATTATTTTTACCACACTTTGTCATTATTTTTACCACACTTTGTCATTATTTTTACCACACTTTGTCATTATTTTTACCACACTTTGTCATTATTTTTACCACACTTTGTCATTATTTTTACCACTCTTTGTCATTATTTTTACCACACTTTGTCATTATTTTTACCACACTTTGTCATTATTTTTACCACACTTTGTCATTATTTTTACCACACTTTGTCATTATTTTTACCACACTTTGTCATTATTTTTACCACACTTTGTCATTATTTTTACCACACTTTGTCATTATTTTTACCACTCTTTGTCATTATTTTTACCACACTTTGTCATTATTTTTACCACACTTTGTCATTATTTTTACCACACTTTATCATTATTTTTACCACACTTTATCATTATTTTTACCACACTTTGTCATTATTTTTACCACACTTTGTCATTATTTTTACCACACTTTGTCATTATTTAACTTTTCTGCAGTAAATTTTTTTTTATAACTCTACATTAAATTTTTATTATTATACTGCTATTATTATTATTTATCATCTTATTTATCTATTATTATTATTTATCATCTTATTTATCTATTATTATTATTTATCGTATTATTTATCTATTATTATTATTTATCATATTATTATCTTTTTATATTATCATTATTACACCATTTATGACTCTCGATTTACAACTTATGATTTCTACACTATTATAGTAAAAAATTGTCTATGGTACATGTGATTTTAAAGCAATGAGCAAAAAATAAATTATACAATTTACAGTCCAAATCTCATCTCTATAAGACTTTGTAATGATGTCAATTGCAATCATTATAATTATTCAGTGAAAAATTAAAATTATTTTTTTTTGACTTAACTTTCAACTAAATTTTTATTTTCTTAGGTTATTGGCGTTCATCAAGAAACAGTTGATAGCTATTTATCGAACATTATTACCAATGCTATTTCTGCTACTGCAGAGGAACAATCAAAACAAGAAGTGGAAGCTATGGCTGTCAAGATCAATCAAGTAGCATATGAAATGGAAGCTTCGTTAGATATTATTTTATCTTTTTTTTTATTTCAATTAATAATAAGTTCTTTCTGATTAATTATTTACTTAGTTTTAATTATTTACTTAAATTAATTATTTAAATAGTTACTGATTACTTTAATAACAGTTGATGAATATTAAATGAAATAATTCTAACTTTAAATTATAAAATCACAGTTAGTAAGCTTTTTTTTTTTAAACACATTTTTTTAAACATCTAATTGTGGGGTAATTGACTGCATTTATTTGCTCAATGGGTGACTGTGTATAATTTCTGGGTGGTTCACTGTAATTTTTGGTTGGGTTGTTAAATTGGATTGCTGTAATTGTTGGTTGGGTTGTTAAATTTAATTGCTGCTTGGTGGTGGTTAACTGTATTAGTGAGATTCTAGAATAACTTTTTTCAAAAATAATCTGACACATTTTCATAATGTACTTATCATTTTTGTATAGTATTTCATATATAGTTATAGTATTTAAATATTTTGAGTCATGAATAATTGTATTCTAAAATTATATTAGGTCAAAAAAAGTTAATTTATGGAAATGAGACAAAAGTTCTATATTTCTCTTTTTTAAGATTTTATTCAACAATATAAAACAAAGTTTAAAAAGTTGAATTATTCTTAGTTAGACATTTTGATGAACATATCAGTTAATCTCTTAAGAACATCATTAGACTTAACCTGTTTACATAAGATGTCTCAGTGTTCTCTCTTTTTTTCATGCAAGTGACCAGTAACAGCTAATAAACTTTTTCAATGATGGTCTTTCTTCTTGGATTAGAAAGTAGCCTAATAAGATATAAATTGCTCCACTATTCCTCTTTTCTGTGTACGAACATGACAGTTTAGTTGTCAGCTCCAGTTTTGGTAAAATATTTGTATTTAAATAATGAATAAAAGCCACATATGAACTGGAAAATAAAAACAATAAAATGAGTATACAATGCATACTTATTATTGATGTAGAAAAAAAAAAATTGAAAAAAATCTAGCCAAAAGCCTATAATCAACTCTCCAGGTTTTTACAGCAGAAAGAGGATGAGGAGTTTTATGCAGGACATTGTATGATTCTTTTATTTGTGGATAATTTTCTTTTTAGTTTCTTTATAAAGTAAAAATTAGTTTAAGCAGTCAATCTTGTTGGTGTTCGCAGCTGGAAAATTAACAATTAAAAGAATCATACAAGAATCATTAAAAATTAACATTTCTAAAAAAATGTTAATAATCTAAAATGTGTGCATTGCATCCATATTAATGAATCTGTCTGTTAAATAGCTCAGAAATAAAAATTTCTATTAATTTGTCAGATCCACCCTGAAATAAAACGTAAAAAAATTTATTAAATCATGAAATTATTAACTTGTTATTCACATTATTAAATCATTTAAAAATAAATAATAAAAATTTTACTTTCACTTTTTACTTTCTTAAATCCGTCATAATATGGTGCCACAGCTTTCCTATCAAATGCATAATTGAATAGAAAAAGTTGCTTTTTAGTTTAACCGGAGTTGTGACCTGTGGGTAACAATATTATTTTTGTGAATGATACTAAATGCCATAAAATCTGTAGTAGAATTTCCCATTTAAAAATATTTAATAAGCATCTACAAGTTCATTCAACTTTTTTCTGCTATCTTTGGACACTGAAAGTTTAATTTCATATTCCAGACATGCTTCAAATCTTTTGCTATTATTAACAACTTTTAATGGCAGGTTGGTGCATGTGTCAATTAGATGATGATAGTAGACAAGAATGTGCTGAAACTCTGGAGTAGTTTTGGAATTAGCTTAGCTTATTTTTCATAATTGATGTGCAGTAGCTGACCCAACAGTTTCTGTTACACATGGCAGTTCCTTTAAACACATGGCAGTCTAAAGTTGTTTGACTTCTTCTTTGATGCTCCCTTAGCACTAACACGAGTTCGTTAAGCGGCGTTAAAATTATTTATTTGCTTTTTTTGGGCTTTTTACAATTAATTCTAGAGCACTCTTTCTTAAATTAAAAAAATAGATTAGATTTAAGGTCATGGTCTGAATAGGTTTAAGGCAAGGGTTAGGTTGTTTTAACTGATCCTGACATTCAAATAAACGTTTATCTGTGGAGGAGTGCATCATTTGTGACAATTACAAAAACCAAATAAATAATTTTGTTTAACTGAAGGATTACCTTTTGGTGGTATTAAAACTAAATTAAAAAAAAATTATTTATTTACTAGTACCAAAAATATCTGAAATTAAAACCAGAACAAAAAAAAGAGAGTTTTATTCAAGATATTTTTAAACAACTTTTAATATTAAATAACAGAACGATTTTTTAAAAGTTTTCGGAGCAGTTTGTTTCTTTACTTTAATATTGTTTAATATATCTTCAGCAGCTGAAGGAATCCTTCAACATCCATAAATGATGGGAATGGGGTGAGATTTTTGCTTTTTTTTTTGTAACTTTAGTTGATTCTAGCTGAAATTTTGTTTTACTGGAAGCTTTTTTGTTAATAGTTTTTCATAATTTAAAGCCTTTGAAAGCCAATTAACAATCTAAAAAGTCACCAAGTTATTTTTTTTTATCATTTTGGAAGAGAAATGTTTATTCGATTTGGCTTAGGTTTGAAATTCAAAAATAAGTTTTGACAAGTAAAAAGCATTTTCACTATTTTTAGAAAATGGAATTTGAATATCAGCAGCTAATTTATTTTCAAATAGTTCATAATCATTTATTTGGTGCATGACGATGTAATTATCATTTTTCAAAGTAGCATCATATTAAAAACAACAGCCTTCAATATCTTGGATCAAGTGTAGCAACGGAATTATTTTCATTATTTTGATAAAAAACGTTTTTCCATTACACTTTTCATTGCATTTTTTAATTCCTTAAAAATCATGAAGTTTCTAAAGCTTGTAAGGAAGCTTGTTTTTAAAATTATTGTGGTGCCAACTGGGATGCAAGAACTGATGCATGAATCAGTACCTGATACCATTTTTGTTGGCTCTTCAAAAATAAACCACTTTTTTACAATGACTCCTACCAGAAAATTTTATTTTTACAGTAGTGAATTTGAGTAAATTGATAACTTTGGCTTCAAATCTAACATTCTCTGAAGCATGTAGTTGGTACAATGTCAATTGTAACAAAGTCTTTCTTTTTTTATCCATTTAGATTTCTTGCTGTCAATTTAGAATTGACTTTAGAAGAATTTGACGCTTAAGAGTAGAGTGTGACGCTTAAGAACAAAGTTTCTGAAACAAAGTTTTTTACAATCAGTTTGCTTATAATACCATCAAAAAGTATTGTTTTTTTAATGTAGAAGGGAGTGGTTAATGCATCAGTTGATTTACAGTCTGGCTTGTTGAATGCTTTAAGTTTTGTTTTTTTTTTAAATATCTTTACTTCCAACAAGGCTGCAAGCAACAACTATTAGAGTTGTAAGTTACTGGAAGAGTCAAGATTTCAAGTTTATAAAGCAAGATAACAACTAACAGAAAACTTAAAAGATTGCAAATTATATGAAGCAGGAAAACAAGATAAAGACAGCAAATTCCAAAGAACAGATGTTGGAACGAAAAAAACTAGATGAATAAGAATTTTTGAAACGCTTAGAAACGGTCACAGTAAAAGGATGAGACTTAATTAAATAACGAGTAACATGAGAATGAATTTTAGTAAAAGGCACTAGAGGCGCTAGCTTTTTAGTGCAGCACCCTTTGTAGTATTTATAGAAAAGAGATAAAGAAGCAACATTAAGATTGTGAGACAATAGTTGAAGGTTGGCTGCAAAAGCAGGGCATCTTTTAAAGATTGTCTCTAAACAAATTCAATTTTTTGATGAAATTTCCCACTTCCTTGTTTTTGTTTGGGTTTTGTTGAAAAGGTTTTTCCTGGTAAAGCTTTCATCAAATGCAAACAAGCAATCCAGATTTTTACATGTTTCCAGTTTTTGGAAATCAATGAGTTTCATTACCAAATACCAGTAAGGTTTGACAAAGGTTAGAATAAAAAAATAAAAATGTTTTTCAGAATAATTTTGAATATTGCTAGTTAAAAAATTTTTAGTACAAAAAAAATACACAGAAAATATCACCAGTTTTTAAATTTTTGATTTACAAAATATGAAAAAATTATTTTTTGTCTAATATATTGCAACTTTCAACAATGTTATGTTGCATGTTTTTGTTTTATGTGTATATACATTATATTTAAGAATGTAAAAAAGTATATGTATATACTTAAGTGTGTATGTAAGTTAAGGCCGTTTTCTACAAGACCAAATTTTCGCGCGAAGCGAATTTTTTCGCTATGACAAAACGCTGTTTTGATTTCCACTTACTTCCTTTCGCACTACTTTTTTTTCGTTGTCAACAGTAAAAATGGCAGCAACAATTTTACGGTGTATGTTTAACTAAAGGCAGTTATTACTTTTTTTAGCATACTTTCTACTTTGAAGCATGTGAAAATTTCTTTCCGTGCATTAATAATAACATTTCTGTCTTTATATGTAAGATGTGATATCATTTTGTAATATAATCATTTAATATAAGGTTTTTTTTACAAGAAAGTATAAGAAAATAAATGCTAAACTCTGATATGATCATTTCTATTAAAAACTGTTACTGCAAAAACGAACAGCAGGTTTAACTCTATGTAGGGTTTTACACAAAAAGGTTTATCTTCGTGTGGTCACTTGAAGATAAACACTCTTATGAAGTTTAACTTTCGTAATTGACAGTGTAAAAATTTATATTTGTAAACTCTCGATTTAGTTTTATATATAAGTCTTGTCATTTTTTTTATATAAGTCTTGCTCCTTGTTTGATGAATTTACTCATGCTTGCCAATTTTCATATAAAAGTAATAATAACCCAAGGTTAAGAATTTTGTTTTTTGTTACTTAAAAACATGGTTTCGCTTTGACATCACGTGATATAATATTCAAAACTTGATTGGTTTTCGCATATGGCGATTCGCAAAAAGTCAAAATGAATCCAACTTTTTT